TATATATATATTATTTTTTTGAATGATTATTTTTTAAAACTCATTATTGGATTAAAAAAAATTCTCTTAAATCATATATATCAAATTCACTTTTAATATAAAATATTAATAGTGTAATAGTTGACAATAGAGTTAGCATGTGAAAAGAAAATATATTAATTCATATTAAAATTATAAATTACATCTAAAAGTCTATGTGTAATACACAAGGTTTAATCTTTAGAATCTAATTTCACATACATTTTTTTTTATTTCTTTAAACTTTTAATTTTTTTTCCTTTAACTCTTTATTTTAGTATCTTTTATTCTTGATTGATAATTTACAGAATCTTGAAATTTTAAGGAAGATAATTTATGCAAAATAGTGTCTTTTGTTTTTTATAAATTATTCATAAATTTTTATAAAAATAAAGTTGTACACCTCATGAAAATACTAATTTTTTGTTTTGTCACACATATCTTTCAACTTATTAAATCAAAGATTAATCTTGCTTGTAATACTGTAATTATTAATAATTAACGAATTTTTAAATATGATAAAAGTATCAAATATGAATTCTCTATTAAATAGATTTCTATGACATATGAGCACAAAATATTTAATCATTATGTCAACTCATTCCATCAATATAAATATACAATATACTAGATAAGTAAAGCTAATTAAGTTGCAATTGATTAATTAATATTAAAATTAAATACATATGTTATTACTGAATAATGCCTCTATAATGTAAAATAAAAGAAAATGAGGAAATTATACTCCTCTCCCTGAGTTTTAATGAAATTATACTATATCCCCTCCCCTTAATGCATTACCTTGACTTTCTTCATTATGTAACTGTATAAAAAAGGGGAAATTTGTGTAAACAGAAAAGGTGCAGGTCTTGTGTTATAGTATTATAGAAATTAAGTTAGATATAACTTTAAAAAAGGTAAGGTTTCCTCATTTGCGTGGCCTAGATATACTCAGGAACCTTGTTTTGACTCAAAAATTCCCGTCTTCTACAATGGATTTTAGAACAAAAACAACAAAACTGATATAAAATACCATGCGTACTTTTTTCTATCATTCCATCATTCTCTTTTGGGGTGAAAGAGAGAATATCTCCATCAGCAGAAAAGTCAGATAAAAATCATATTTAATGTAATCTTTTGAAGCATGTTTAGGTTGGAATCAAAATTTTATCTTAATAATATGTATTTATATTTAATCTAATCTTTAATTACAAATATTATTATAGTAAAACTCTAATTTTAATTAAAAAAATATACCTAAAAAAATGCATTCAGCACAACGTTTGCTTTTCACAACCAAGTATAATTTCCATGGAATAAGCCTCTGCTGACAGGTCATGGACACATGAGATATCAAAGCTTAATTCGTAATATAACATATTCAAGTAGGATAAGTACACCGTAATGATCAGTGATCACAAGCTGGTACATAAACATTATTAAAACATCAAACAAACAACTGAAATTAAAAGTGAACATAATTATGACGTCAAACTACCCTGCAACACTAGCAGATAAATACAACCAATATTTGACTGAAGATGCATATATTCATCAAAGCAAAGGAAGCTTAATTGGCAACAATCTACATCTCAGAGGAAGCCTGCAGCCTTCCATCGTTCACTGTTGAGGCTGCAGAGTAGAAATGCAAAGGATGTAGCACAGAGATCAGTAACTAATAAGAAACCAATCACAATTCTTCAAGATCAACGGTTACGAGATTCATAATATATATTATATAGTACTCTGATAAATAAAAAAAAAAAAAAAAAAAGTATGTATATATATATAGTACCAGATAACGTTTCTTGTATCTATCAACGATTTCCTGAGGATCGAGTCTTGTCTGTGTATAAGCATCAATCTTGTTCACTTCCTGTAAAATAAGCATTTTGTTTCACAAATATACTGAGATTGAGGGTCAAGTTCAAAGGGAATAAACTGTCGACACTTAGCAAATGGAGAACTTTGCTTATGATGATTATGAAGAATTCATCATACAAACAAACCGCAATTTCCACATACAATGGAATAAATTTTGTGCAACTAGTTTTAGAGTGTGTTTGAGAATAAGTTGAACTCAATTGGGATTGAAAAAAAAAAAAATTACACTTACAAACTTTTTTTTTTTTTTTTTGTATCACAACATGAATTTTTCTACTCAATATGATTTTGAACCGGTATCCAAACATACACTTAGTGTACCTCAATCCAAGTTGCAAGTTTAGGCCTTCCTTCTGTGATGTCATATTTGAACACCTCAGCTAAGAAAATTTGGAATCTTTCCACAAATGGAATATAGGCAATATCCACCTGATCAACACAAGCATTTACAAATTATACGAAGAAAAGCTATTGTCATTGATATTATCACAACTATACCAGTATACTTTTGGATCAAATCTGACTACTTTATTTCATCATGTTGAAATTTTTGGGTTTTAGACAGGAAGAAGAGATATAAAAGATTGTGAAATACTGAATTGATGTTAACTGAGATGTGTTACATTATATATTCATAAAACATATAGTACTAACTCTTATTTATACTAATCATAATCCTAGCTAATTAGAGAAGTAAATCATGATAAGATAACGAAATATAGTAACTAAATTCTAAGAAATAAAGAGGAAATATGGAAACTAATGTGAGCGGATAATCTAACATATCACAAGATGTTTTTGTATATTCTAACACATTAGATGCATCAAGACAAGCATTAGTAATCAGCCTGAAAGGCAGCAAATTTAAAAGGAAAACGAAAATTGAAGATCATTGAATTAATTTTGTGAGAAAGAGAGAACAGAGAGAAATGTCTGGCAATCGTATCGTAGATAAACAGAAAATAAATTAATTACAACAAACTGCAGTGATTGGTACATCAGTATATATAGTTCATGTAAACTAACTGAGAATATTAACTGAATCTGTTTCCACATTACATGGAATGATTATTTTTTTTATCAAAAAGTCCGAACTTAAGACAATGTAAATACTATTCCAACCCCTTACCACTAGGCCAACCTGTTCCATTACATGGAATGATATAAGAAAGCTATAGCTACTCTATACTCCAATAGATTTGAACTTACCAAACTGAATTGACCAACCAAGAATGGCCCATCATCGAATTTACCAAGAGCATTCTCCAAGTAATCAAGAGCAGGACCTGATTTAAATTGCCTATTTTAAGAACCATTTTGTATTTGAAAAGAAAAAACATTCTTCTATTCACAAACTTAAATATCTGGCTTACTGGCTTCCTGTATAGGATCCCCTTTCAGTGAAGCGTAAAGGTCTTTGTTGAATGTATCAACATGGGATATCAATTGCTCACCGAACTCTTGCTTGGCAGGATCCTAAAAAATATTCTATTTAACATCAATAATTCACTCCAACAATTGAAAAGAGACGAGGCCATGAAGGGGAAAAAAGGAGAATGTGCAGTTCTTACTCCGGGAACCAAATGTGCCCCTTCAAAGTTGGCATCTACATATTTGATTAAATCAAGACTTTCTCCTAATACCTTGCCATTGTGCTCCAAGGATGGCACCTATATATATACATTAGGGGAACAAAGTCACTTGTCAATTGACTGAATCAAATTAGCTCAGTCAAGTCAACATAGCAAAGTAGCAACCAATTTATCATCCTCTGAATAAATAATCTATCACTAACTGTGTAATACTTTTTTGTACATCTAATCACAAATTTGTTCTCTTTTATAATAATTACTACTGATGATTTATAATTGGTTGATGGCATAAAAACTTCTACACTAACTGTACATGTCTATTAAACTCCTGCAGTATTGTCCAAGTGAGCAGTGACTCACTTTGTTTTCAGGGTAGACTTTCTCCTTGTACCAAGCTGGTCTGTCTTGAAGGTCTATAGGGATCAATTTGATCTTGTCTTGTAGCCCCTGTAGTTTTAGTTACCAACAGGAGAAATAACATCGACAGAAATAATAAGAAATCACTAAATAATAAGAAATCACAAGAAGGCACTTAGGACTTGGCAACTAAAAATAATAAAATTAGACATTATATAAAAGAAAGGCGAATAAAGGCATCAAATAAATAAAAATAAAATTATGAGTAAATTACATCACAAGCAATGAGGTTTCATGAGATAACACATGACCCCCTAGTGTATTATTTTTTAAACAATTAAAGGAGATTAATATAATGTCTAAATGTTTCATTAATACATTAATTTTCTTCAAGGATGACACTAAAACTCTCAACTTTAATAGTAATGTATACGAAAACATATTTTATAGGATAAATTATTAGGTGGTCTAGAACTATTAAGTGTTCATGATCTTAACCAATTATTATATGACATGTATTTAAGTTTTTTAACTAACAAGAAAGAATTAATTATGTAAAAACTATTCAGGAATCATGTAATTCAAGACTATCTAATAATTTTTTCCTTTATAAGAGTTTCAGTATAATGTTTTTCAAATAATTAAAAGAAGTTAATGTAATATTTAAGAGTATTACTGTAATATTTTTTAAATAATTAAAGAGAGTTATTGTAGGAATATAAAAGGTAGGGATTCTTTGTGTAATTTCACCAAATCTCATTACTAATGGTGTAATTTACTTTAGTAAACTTCAAGGGGTTTATATGTAATTTACTCGGATTATCCAACAAAGAGGACATAAGGAAGAAACAACCTTGTAGTTCCTAGTGATCCATACACGTTGTGCATAGGGGCAAGAGTAACTGATGTACAACCTAAATGAATAGCAAATAAATACATAAGAAAATGGGCATGTGAAAATTGAAGCAAAACCATGGAAAAGGTGAATTTTGGAGTGTAAGAAGGAACCTGGTGGAGCCATCAAAAAGAGGAGGTGGGTCGGAGGTGGACGTTAATGGAGGAGGACGAACTGCTTGCACGCCACTATGTCAGTTACAAAGAAAGAACATTAGAGAAGAGGATAGTGTTGGAATAAAGAAGTAACAGAGACAGTGACAGGGTAGAATTGTGAAAATTAATGAAGAAATTCATACAGAGTTGCCATTAACGTTGTTCTTCACCGAACCTTAAGGATTGGTTGGACAGAGGTAGATTAGTGTCTACGTTCAATCAAGTTTGGCATTTTATTCCAAATTCTCTTCCATTTTATTTCAACCACATTTTTAAGACAGCATATGTCGCGTTCGTCTACATGTTTAATTATTTACTTGAAAGTAAATAAAAGATAGAGCACTACAGTATATGAGAAATCTATTTATATTTACAGTTTTTTTAGAATAATAAAATACTTTTATTACTTTGAAAAATACAAGTTTTGTATAAGAGACATTATTTTTATGAAAATAAAAGAACTTTTAAAGACATCAAATTTAAAAGAAAATCAACTCCATATATAAACCAAGATCAGATATCTTAAAGTATTTTTAAATTTTTAATTTCTTATCTAATTTAAATTTTATTTATCATATTTATTTATGAATTAAATTTTAATATTTTTAAAATAAATAATCCATAATAATCTTGTGTTCTAATATAAATTATTTATTATAAATTTAAAATATAAATTTTAAATATAATTATATATTTAAATATATGGTATTTATTTGTATATATAATTATCATATTTATTATGTACAAAGTAAAAAAAATAGTTATATATAATAAATATTTAATTTTTGTATTATACCGACTAAAATACTAGTAAAATAAAATTTGAAAAGAGTTAATATATTAATCACCTGGTTTTCACTAGGTCCTTTTTTTAATTACAAAAATTATATTTTACAAAATGAAATTTAGTTTTAAATTAAAATACTTTAAATTATATATTTTAGAAAAGTGATAGTATATTATAAAATTATCTTGATTTTAAATCTGGATAATAATATTTTTAATTTAAGTGAATCATTGCACGGTTATAAATTAGATCAAATACTTCAGTTCAGAATTTGATTAATAATAATCAATTTCTAAATTAACATAATTGACTTTGACAGTTTACATCGATGTCAGAAAAATTACACAATTTTCTATTTGGACCAGAATCTAGTTAGCAATATAGTGAATATAACACATACAAACAAACACTACTAATTAACTTTTTGTAAAAAATAATCTTTAGTTATTATATGAAAATATGAGGAAGAAAAAAATTGTTACCAAAAAAATATGAAAATAAGAAAAAAGAAGTTTGTATATTTGAATTACGATGAGTTCATATTACCATGTACCTTCTAAGTTTTCAAAGTTATATTAAGGACAAATCATTTTGAACTTTTCAAATAAACTCAATTTAAATAAAATGAAAAAAAAAACTTCTTTTTTATATTTGGAGAATGAACTTGATGAAATGTCACATGCCTTGTGATGATAATCATAATACCCATCCAATATGGTATTATTCTACTATTATTTCGTTCAATATACATAAAATATTAATATTTTAATCAAATACTAATTTAATTTTCTTTTTTCCATTTTTCTACTTTAAACATTATACACCAACAATTCAACAATAGTTAATTCCTTATTCTTTATGGAAGGCAATTTTATTTGAATTAGATAGGCAATTTTATTTGAATTAGATAGGATCATCATAAGTTATAAAACGATCTTTTTCTAAATATTTAATTATGACTCACTAAACTTTTACAACCTCATGTCAATAATAACAATTTTTGTTATTTGTGTGTTTCCTTTTCCATTTTATTTGAATTATATAGGTGTGTAGTAATTGAAATGATTTTTTAATTATATTATTTTTAATATTTGTATTCTTATTTTCATTCAATAATTTTCATAAAAATACATTTTAACCTTAAATTATTTTTATTATAAAGACATATAATTCTTTCAGAGTAGAATTTCACTAATTATGATTAAAAGTTAATCATTTTTTCCATTTTTTTTTCATTTTATTCTCAACTATTGATGACTTTTAGATTAATTAATTTTTAAAAAATATTTTTAAGAATTTTGTCATAAAAATTATTTTGAGTAATTTAAGTAAAATGAAATAACATAAAAGGGTAAGGCACATTCAAAAAGGTTGGCTGCACAAACTTCGAAGAATTCCATTATTAAATCTTTCTTTAAATTATAGAAAATAATAGAAAATTATTAATTTTAATAAATATATTAGAGTAAATTACTAACACTTCCTAATATTTCTCAAGTTGTAGAGACATTTTCTACTTTTTTTTATATCTCTATAATATTTTTTAAAAATTATTTGAAAAACATTACAGTAACAGAGAGTGAGGAGAATTTATCAAAACCAAAACTATTTGTAATCATTGTCTCCCAGATCCAGGTCATCTACAAGTTAGACTGCAAGCCAGTGGTAGATGGAGTGCTGACATACATCACAGGTAGCACAAAACTTCATTATATTCTATCCAAGTGTAGAGCTTCTCTAAATTTTATTTTCAAACTCTGGTGAATTTTGATAAAAAGCAAGCGAATTATGTTGTCCATTTAGTTTTCTTTCGTAAACAGAAAAGAAGAAAATCTCTTAAAATCTCTTAGAAATTACATTAACCCTTTTAATTATTTAAAAAATCATAACATTGTGTCACTTTATAAAAAAAATGTTACTATAAATGTTAAAAAAGTAAGTGACAGTATAATTTCACAAAATTTTGAATGTGTTAGTGTAATTTACTCGATATATTAACTTTAATTCTTACAAAAATAAAAGATGTAAAAATTAAAAACATTCATTGTTGAAGTAATATGAAACTGAATATTATAACACTTGTATGTTGAATAGTTTTTTTTTTTTTTTTTTT